GGAAGGCATACAGCTGAAAATAAATGATTTTGATTGGTTTCGGGATCGGAAGTAACTTGACATCGGGCTCGAAGTATCGATTTTTGACGATTTTCCTGACGGTAAAACTCCCATATACCCATTGGTCTGTTTTATGGGTTTTTATTAGGTTTGATTAAATTACTGGGATGCCGTAAACCTTGGCCAATCATTCCTGGTTATATTTTATTATTCGTGTAATAAGGTAAATCTTCGATTTTTTGTATGATGATAAATTGAAAATAGAAGGCAAGTGAAGCCTAGGGACGTAATTAATGAACAGAGAAAATGTTACTTTTGTGACTGGAATGTCTACGGTGTTTATTTTGGGCTGTTTTTATATTGTAATTTTTTTAATGTGTGAAATTGGCCAAATTAACTGCTGTACACTTTATAAAGTAGTTCTGATAATTGAATAAGCGGCTTCTTGTGCTCAATCGAAAACGGAAAAATATACTAGCGAAATAGCTCAGAATTTGGTTGAATTTAGTAATAGAATTGATTAAATATATATAGACCCAAAGTTTGCGTAATTGCCGATGCGTGAATTGAGCCGCAAGTTTTCCATAAAATTTGATATTTTTGGTATCATTACTTTGAGAAAAAGTTTCTCTACCATTTCAGAAGAAAAAATAATATTTGAAAAATGTCAACATTGTCAGAACTTCTAATTTCGGGGCTTCCGACGGCGAAGGGGTAAAGATTTTCTTCCAAAGAAATCTCCCTTAGTCCCTATCCAGTCTTGCAGTTTGTTATATCACACTTAGAATCAACATTTAGTATCCCTCTACAAATTCTTCCAGACTCTTGAGCGTTTCTTCAGTTTTTAAACCCCCTTTTATATGTAGCAAACAAAATTTTCTCGGACATATAGCACCATCCTGCCTCCCCCTCTCCGTTATTTCTGTTGACATGGAACAATAGTTAGGTATTTTTAATCGTACAACCGTTGAGTATATTAATTTTTGGAACGTTTTGGATGCTATGGAACTGAATACTTATCAAATTTGAGGACTGACCACCTCAGAATTACTTCAAGGCTGAGGGACTGATCACCTCTCATTTACCTCTCCACTGCTGCTGCTGTCTCCAATATATATCACCTCTGTATTCGACTGAAGAATCCTGATGAGCAGATTAAACGTTTCGACCCAGCTGATCCACATGTATCTTACTTAATGACCCTCACGTAGTCGATAGGTTCTAAACACAATAACCAACCAACCATATAGTCATAGATATATGCAAGTAATGACCGATGATTTAAAATGCAGACAGTTCAAGCTTAGGAGAAAGTAACGTGACACCTTCAGCGAAGTGAAATAACCTTTTTTTTTTTTTTATCAGAGGTGAAGGCCGGCGGGTTGTGGTGCGACTTTGAGACACCTGAGGAGTGTGGGTTCCGCACCTCCCTGCCAGGTGACACCACCGTCTGGACCTGGGGCGCTGATTACGATACCCTCGACCACACTCTCGACAGCCACTATGGTAAGTATGAAGCACAGGCAGTAGAGCGTGGACTTGTAAATTCTTTTCCCGGTCTCATGAGTGCCGTGGAGTGAACCCCGATCCCTGTGTGAGCTGAAGTCGCTACCAACTGAGCCACGAACATTCACTGTTCATTGACAAATGTGTTATCAATGATTTATTGAAAAGTCATTAAAAAGGCGATGTCGACACTGTCTCACTGGTGGTTTTCTGAGAAACATGTGCTGGATACAGCCACATGTGAAGGACGACAGTAAATGATTAGGTGAAAAACCGAGGAAGGATGGGGATCTGCTCACTGTGAACTGTAGTGAAGTGTTTGGAGAACTCAACAAAATATTCCATTGTACCTTAGTAACCTAATAAGGGTCATTACAAGAAATAGGAAGGGAAAGAGCATATCATGCGCAACTGGGAAGTATTCAAGTAATCCTTGAAGCAAAACGTCTCTTCAGAAAGCTATATAATACCCAACTGACAGGATATTACCATTAAGGTTACTGAGGCGATGCTCTGTACAGAGTTACTATACTGATTATATTAATTACAAGAATATTATGACATTCATTGGCGATAAATTATAAAGATTTAACCTAGGATAAAACAGCAAAACTGAGTAGTAAATGCCCTAATATTAAGCACAATGAACAGGTCACACGATGTATGTGGACTTGTCTTTGGTGGGAGAGGACAAAGTGGCGCACTTGGTTACCCCTGCCATCACTCCTCAGGACGAGACTTTCTGTGCCACATTCTGGTTCTACATATTTGGCGAAGACGGGAGCAGACTCTCTGTAAGTCTCCGCTCAAACGAGCTCATTGTTACTGTAACTGAATATGTTGTTCCTGTATTTTTTTTGTTTGATAGCTTGCTTTACTAACAAAACATTAGGCCCAGTCTTAGGACCCACTGTACCACTGTAATATACTTTGGCTACCTCCCGCGAGTTGGTTCGATAAATTTGTTATGCACCCCAACCATCCTATGGACGGTAGTCAGGGGGTTATGAGGCACATAATGGGTCCAGGGACTGCATCCCATTTGTGACTGCTAAACAAATTACTGTAGTATTGAAATATTTACAAATCAGTGAACTGATTTCAGAGCAGTAGTAATGAGTTTACAGTCATAAATTCACTTACAAAAACATTAGCTATGAGATATATACACTAAACCAATATTTAGGCAAGTTAAAGTTATGAGCTCTTCAAAATATGTAAAATCAGTGTATTTTTCCAGATTGACTAATAATATGCCAGTAGATAAAATAGTTTGAAATTTCTTAACCATTTATGAATTATATCCGGATTCATATTAAATTAAAAAAATTGTACTAATGACAATTCGCAGTAGGTATCAATTTATATATTTGTGTACTGATGACAATTTGTAACAGATACTGTCAATTCAAAATGAGAGTCCTAGTCTTCCCCTGTGGAGCCAACATCAGGCTTTTGAGAAAGAGTGGCGAGGTGCCTCCGTCTCCAACACCGTTGACCTCAATAAAAACTTTACGGTAGGTTGTGATAACTTCTCACATTACTCATCACGAGGTTGCAAATCTGATAACTCACATGCTTACTTTTGTGTTTAACAAATGTGTAATGAAAACTGACCAGTGGCACCAATGATGTACTTCCAGAGAGTAAACAGATTATTGAGTACTTTTCATTTTGGCCTCTTGGTATAATCTCTGAAAAGGAGCCTCAATAAGATATCAAAATATTCAGTGCTCAGTCGTAACTTCTGTTTAGTGTCAAAATGTTTTAGCATTTTTCGTGAATAATAATAATAATAATAATAATAATAATAATAATAATAATAATAATAATAATAATAATAATGTATTCGTGTAGATTCCATTGTGTAATAACAGTGAAAAGATGTGTAAATACTGGAAAAAGTTTTTAATGACTATCGTATTATATATCCAATCTGTCCTGAAGTCACGAATCACTACTAATAATATGCATTAAAACCAGACGTGCGTAGCAAACAGAATACGTGAAAAACGCACGTGTGATGATAAGGAACAAGCCGTGTGAGGGGGTTGGGCATTAAGGCTCCAGAGATGAGCTGTGCATGTAAATATGTAACGTATGAGACAGGTTACGAGGATGCCTTGGAATATGCATGTCTTTGAGGCTTTACCCTTCAGTGGAGGTTCCTTGATGCTGTTGAGGGGGACATTGGTACAAGGAATTAGTCCTGTTCACCCTTTCTTTGAATCAAACTGGTTGTCTCCTATTCCCCAGGTGCTGATGACCCAGACAAGTATATAATAAGATAATCTGAAAGTTTGCGATGTATATTGAATCATTAACAGACATAGCCCACTCCACATTAGGGGGCAGTAAAGCACAGCAAAGAACTACAGACCAATAGCACTAACATCCCATATCATTTAAAAATCTTTGGAAGGGTCATAAGAAGCAAGATCTCCAACCATCTATAAAATCCCATCAGTTACACAAACCCAGGGGCAACATGGTTTTAGGAACTGGTCGCCTGTCGGTTCAACTATGGATCACTACGACAAGGTCCTAAATGCACTAGCAAGACAAAAAAGAATGCAGATGTAATATATACAGACTTTGCAAAAGCCTTCGACAAGTGTGACACATGGCAGTAATAGCGATACAAATTGCGCGCTAATAGATTAACAGGAATTGTCGGTCGTGGATCTATTAATTGCCTCTCTATTCAAGAAACAACTGAGTGGAGGCGTACATCAGAGTTATGTCCGTGGCAGCTAAGGTGCATATAAGCTCTGTTCCCCACAAGGCCACTGTAATAGATCCCATCTTGTTCCTCCATCTCATATCCGACATTAGACACAGGATGTCAGCCACAGCACCGTGTCTTCCTTTGCAGATGACAACGAATCGCATGACAGCCTGTTTCCATGGCAGACACTGCAAGGGCTTCCAGGAGGACATCAACAATCTTCAGTGAGGCTGCAGATAAACAATATGAAGTTAACAGATGAGAAATTTTAATTACTCAGATATGGTAAACATGAGGGAAATTAAATTTCAATCAAAGTACAAAACAAAATTCTGGCCACAAAATAGGAGGCGAATACACAACGTTTCCAATGACCTAGGAGGTTGATTTTGTCGGAGGATCTCACCTTCATGGACCATAACATTGTATCAATCTGCATCTGCTAGAAAAATGACAGGATGGGGAATTTTTTAATGAGAACCTTCAAACTAGGGAGGCCAAGCCATGATGACACTCCTTCAGTCACTTGTTCTATCTAGGCTGGAATATTGTGCACTCTAACAGCACCCCTTTCAAGGCAGGTGACAATTGCCGACATAGAAAATGTACAGAGAAACTTTCACGGCGCGCATAACGGAGATAAAACACCTCAATTACTGGGGAGCGGCTTGAGGATTTCTAAAACCTGTCATTCCCTGGGATCGCAGGGGGAGAGATACTTGATTATATACACTGGACAATCTAGAGGGACTAGTACCAAACTTGCACACGAACAATCATCACTACGAAAGCAAAAGATTGGCAGACGATGCACACTTCCCCCCAATGACAAGCAGGGGGGTACTAGCACTTATGAGACCATACAATAAGTGTCAGGGGCCCGAGACCTCGTTCAAATGCCTCACCAGCACACATTAATGGGGATTACTCAACAGACCCCTGGCAGTCTTCAAGCTGGCACTGGACAAGGCAACGAAAGTACAGTTCCTGATTCAAGCCGGGCTGTGGCTAGTACGTTGGTTTGCGTGCAGCCAGCAGCAACAGCCTGGTTGATAAGGCGCTGATCCACCGGAGGCCTGGTCACAGACCGGGCCAGGGGTGGCGTTGAACCCCCGAAACTCTTCCAGGTAAACTCCAGGTATCTTGACATGTCACATAGGTTATTATACTGTCTGTCTCTGTATTCCTCAATGAGTGGACAATTAAGCACATAGTGTTCAAGAGAGTGACCATATGCCTGATCACATAATTTACATTTAGTGTGATATTATTCTGTGTTCTCCCATACTGCCACAGTTGTTACGTGTATAACATGCAATAGCCGTGCACTACAACATCAGTCAGTCTGTTCACATTGGAATGTCTACGGTGTTTATTTTGGGCTGTTTTTATATTGTAATTTTTTTAATGTGTGAAATTGGCCAAATTAAACTGCTGCTACACTTTATAAGGTAGTTCTGGTAATTGAATTAAGCGGATTCTTGTGCTCAATCAAAAAAAGGAAATAAAATATACTAGCGAAATAGCTCAGAATTTTTGGTTGAATTTAGTATAGAATTGATTTAAATATTTTGACCCAAGTTTGGCGTAATTGCCGATGCGTGTATTGAGCCGCCAAGTTTTCCATAAGATTTTATTTTTTGTGTATCATTACTTTGTGAAAAAGTTTCTCTACCATTTTCAGAAGAATAAAATTATAATTTGAAAAATGTAAACATTGTCAGAACTTATATTTCGGGGTGCCGACGGCGATAAGGGGTAATGATTTTCTTCCAATGAAATATGTCCCTTAGTCCTATCCAGTTTTTTTCTTTGCAGTTTGTTATTCACAAATTAGTATCCACTTTAGTTTAAATCTCAAATTATTCCTGACTCTTGAGCGTTTCTTCTGTTTTTTTTAACCCCCATTTATATGTAGAAAAAACTAAATTTTCTCGGTACAGTATGCACCATATGACCTAACCCTATCCGTTTTTTCTGTTTTCATGGAACAATAGTTAGGTGTTTTTATCGTTCTCCGTTGAGTATTTTAATTTTTTTGGTACGTTTTGGATGCTATGGAACTGAATATTATCAAAATTTGAGGACTGACCACCTCAGAATTACTTCAAGGCTGAGGGACTGATCACCTCTCATTTACCTCTCCCCTGCTGCTGCTGTCTCCAATATATTTTCACCTCTGTATTCGACTGAAGAATCCCGATGAGCAGATTAAACGTTTCGACCAGCTGATCCACATGTATCTTACTTAATGACCCTCACGTAGTCGATAGGTTCTAAAACACAATAACCAACCAACCCTATAGTCATAGATTATGAAAGTAATGACCGATGATTTAAAATGCGACGTTAAAGTTAGGAGAAAGTAACGTGACACCTTCGCGAAGTGAAAAACCTTTTTTTTTTTTTTATCAGAGGTGAAGGCCGGCGGGTTTGGTGCGATTTTGAGACCCGAGGGTGTGGGTTCCGCACCTCCCTGCCAGGTGACACCCCGTCTGGCCCTGGGGCGTGTTCGATCCCCTCGACCCACTCTGCAGCCCTATGGTAAGTATGAAGCCAGGGGTAGAGCGTGGACTTGAAATTTTCTTTTCCCGGTCTCATGAGTGCCGGGAGTGAACCCGATCCCTGTGTGTGAGTGAAGTCGTCCAAACTGAGCACGAACATTCACTGTTCAGTGACAAATGTTTATCAATTTTTTATTGAAAAGTCTTTAAAAAAGGGTGTCGACACTTCTAACTGGTGTTTTGGGGAAAAATGTGCTGGTCGCCACATGTGAAGGACGCAGAAAATGATTAGGTGAAAACCGAGGAAGGTGGGGATTGCTCCTGGAATGTAGTAAATGTTTGGAAAACTCAAAAAAAATATTCCATTGTACCTAGTAACCAAATAAGGGTCATTCAAGAATGGGAAAGGGGAAAAGAGCATATCATGCGAAACTGGGAAAGTATTAAAGTAATCCTTGAAGCAAAAGTCTCTTAGAAAGCTATAAATACCCAACTGACGGATTTACCTTTAAAGGTTCTGAGGCGATGCTCTGTAAGAGTTACTATCTGATTTTTTTTAATTCAAGAATATTATGCATTCTTTTGGGCAAAAAAATTATAAGTTTTAAAAACCTAGGATAAAACAGCAAAACTGAGTAGTAAAGCCCAAATTTTTAAAGCAAATGAACAGGTCCACGATGATGTGGCTTGTCTTTGGGGGGAGGGACAAAGTGGCGCATTTGGTTCCCCCTGCCATCACCCCTCGGAGAGACTTTCTGTCCCACATTCTGGTTCTACATATTTGGCAAAAGAGGGAGCAGCTCCTGTAATCCCCGCTAAAAACGGTCATTGTTATTAATGAATATGTTGTTCCTGTATTTTTTTTTTTTGATAGCTTGCTTTACTAACAAAACATTACCCCCCGTCTTAGGACCCCTGTACAATGTAATATACTTTGGTACCTCCCGCGGTTGGGTTCTAAATTTGTTTGCACCCAACCATCCTATGGACGGTGTCAGGGGGTTATGGGAAATAATGGGTCCAGGGACGCCCCCCTTTTTGTGATGCTAACAAATTATGTGTATTGAAATTTTCCAAATCGTGAACTGATTTCAGAGCAGTAGTAGGGTTTAGTCATAAATTCTTAAAAAAAATTAGTGTAGCTAGAATAACACAAAACCCAATATTTGGGAAAGTTAAATTTAGCTCTTCAAAATATGTAAAATCAGTGTATTTTTCCAGTTTGGGGACTAAAAATTGCCAGTAGATAAATGTTGAAATTTCTTAACCATTTTGAATGTATCCGGATTCATTAAATTAAAAAAATTTTTTATAATAACAATTCGCAATAGGTATCAATTTTTATTTTGTTACTGTTTACAATTTGTAAAAGATAAGTCAATTCAAATGAGGTTCCCAGTCTTCCCGTGGAGCCAACATGGGTTTTGGAAAGAGTGGCGAGGTGCTCCCTCTCCAACACCGTTTACCCCAATAAAAAATTTACGGGGAGGTTGTGATAACTTTCACAAATTTATCACGAGGTTGCAAATCTGATAACCACATGCTTACTTTTGGTTTAACAAATGTGTAATGAAAACTGACCGTGGCACCCTGATGTTTCCCGATAGTAAAAAGATTATTTATACTTTTATTTTGGCCCCTTGGTTTAAACTCTGAAAAGGAGCCTAATAAAATATCAAACACTGTATGTCCTTGTGGCTTAGCGCTTCTTTTTGATTTAATTAATAAATAAGATTCAAAAAAATTCGTGCTCAGTCGTAAAATTTTGTTAGTGTCAAAAATGTTTTAGCTTTTTTTGTGAATAATAATAATTTAAAAATAAAAATAATTTAAAAATAATAAAATAATAATAAATAAATTAAAAATGTATTGATAGATTCCTTGGTAAAAACAGTGAAAATGTGTAAATCTGGAAAAAAGTTTTTAATGACTATCGTCTTTATATCCATTGTCCTGAAGTCAGAATAACTACTAATATATGATTAAAACCAGAGTGCGAGCAAAAGAATACGTGAAAAAAAAGCAGTGTGTGATAAGGAACAAGCCGTGTGAGGGGGTTGGGCATTAAGGGTCCAGAAAAGGCTGTGCATGTAGATTAAAGGTGTATTCCGGGCCATCCTTACCAGTGTTGTGCCAGAGATTGGAAAATGGTAAAGTGGTTCCCATATTCAAAACGGGGTAAGTCCCCTCCTTCAAATTACCCTCCCAAAAAGCCTGCATCTTTAGGGGCAAGTTTTAGAAAAATTATGCTGACATTTTCAGAAGCCCTTGAAGAGCATAACTTGATAAATGAAACTCGCATGGGGTTCACGGAGGTCGTTCTGCCCGACAAACTTACTGACGTTTTTAATAGAAATTTTTGGGGAGTTGACGTGATAAGGAATATGATATTGTTAATTTGGATTTTAGTAAAGCCTTCGACAAAGTACCTCACAAGAGACTCTTAAGAAAAGTGGCAGCTCATGGTATAGGAGGTAAAGTTCTAGCATGGATTGAGGCATGGCTTACCAATAGAAAGCAGAGAGTTACCATTAATGGAGTGAAATCTGAATGGGGATTAGTCACTAGTGGCGTTCCACAAGGATCAGTTTTAGGCCCTCTCTTGTTTATAATTTACATTAATGACCTTGATGAAGGGATTACTAGTGACATGAGTAAGTTTGCTGATGATACAAAGATAGACCGTATAATTCACTCTGAGGAGGATATCAATGAACTCCAGGACGATTTGAACAAATTAATGTCTTGGTCTGAGAAATGGCAGATGAAGTTTAACGTGGATAAGTGTAAGGTACTTGCCCTTGGTAATGAAAATAACCCTCGAAGCTATAATCTAGGTGAAGTAGAGCTTGGTCATACAGAATGTGAAAAAGACTTGGGAGTCATGGTAAGCAGAAATCTAAAGCCAAGACAGCAGTGCCTCAGTGTGCGCAACAAGGCCAACAGATTACTTGGATTTATCTCAAGAAGTATAAGTAACAGAAGTCCAAAAGTTATTTTACAGCTCTATACATCACTAGTGAGGCCTCATTTAGATTATGCTGCTCAGTTTTGGTCCCCTTACTACAGGATGGACATAGACTCATTAGAGAACATACAGAGAAGAATGACTAAAATGATTTACTGTGTAAGGAACCTCCCGTATGAAGATAGACTTAAAGCCTTAAATCTCCACTCTCTGGAGAGGCGTAGAATGAGGGGAGATATCATTGAAGTGTATAAGTGGATGACGGGCATAAACAAGGGAGACATTAATAAAGTACTGAGGGTGTCGAACAAGGTAAGAACCAGGAATAATGGATTCAAGTTGGATAAATTTAGATTTAGAAAGGACATAGGTAAGTACTGGTTTTCTAACAGAGTTGTAGATGCGTGGAACAGTCTTCCCAGTGGGGTGATAGAGGTTAGGACCTTGGGTAGCTTTAAGAAGAGACTGGACAAATATATGAGTGGGAGGGGCTGGGTTTGATTGGTGTCAAGGGGTACGGGAGTTATTTCTTGAGTAGCTTTAGGTAGATGTCGTTTTGATTAGGACCTGCCTCGTATGGGCCAGTAGGCCTTCTGCAGTTTTCCTACATTCTTATGTTCTTATGTTCTTATATGTAACGTATGAGACAGGTTACGAGGATGCCTTGGAATATGCATGTCTTTGAGGCTTTACCCTTCAGTGGAGGTTCCTTGATGCTGTTGAGGGGGACATTGGTACAAGGAATTAGTCCTGTTCACCCTTTCTTTGAATCAAACTGGTTGTCTCCTATTCCCCAGGTGCTGATGACCCAGACAGGTTTAGCGCTTTCCCCCAAGTATATAATAATGATAATCTGAAAGTTTGCGAATGTATATTGAATCATTGTCAAATTATTGCAATGCGAGTTCAGTCACTAAAATAAAGAAACCGTAAAAATAAGTATATATTATATCTTAGTTCTTATGAGACAACAGATTAGTGAGAGATATGGTTAGCAACAATTATAGACAGAACAGGAGACCATATTACTTACTTGTTGATTCCCTAGGTCATCGCCCAATGCGGCCCAGTACCAGGCTAGGCCCTCTGATGACTTGGTCAGTCAGGCTGTTGCTACTCCCAATTGTATGACCTATATTTTTAAAAGGATAATAATAATAGTAGTAGTAATAACTTATTAACACGTCAGCCGTCTCCCACCAAGGCAGGGTGACTCAAAAAGAAAGAAAACCTTAGAAAGAAAAAAACTTTCATTATTCAACACTTTCCCCATCACTCATACATAATCACTGTCTTGGTATCTGAGCGCTTCAGCAAAGACAGTGAGTATGTATGAGTGATGGTGAAAGTGTTGAGTGATGAAAGTTTTTTTTCTTTCTTTTTGGGTCACCCTACCTTGGTGGGAGACGGCCGACGTGATAATAATAATTATAATAATAATAATAATAATAATAATAATAATAATAATAATAATAATAATAATAATAATAATAATAATAATAATAATAATAATAATAATAATGGTGCTAGCAGCATGAATTTCCAACATAAACACTTCAAATCACAGATCGGTTGGATCTTGAACCCATGGCAGGTGAGTCCTAAAACTGATAGGGCAGTTTTGCAATCGTGATTTTACGGTTTCTTGAATCATAAGCACCTCAGCCTGGCTCTGGAACTGACTGAAGTAACGTGTCAAGTTCCCTTACGAAGCAGTTCATACTTCATTATTTTCTTTACCCTTCGTAAAAAAATGCACGTTCGAATTGGGACGACACGACCTGCGCTGCTAGATGTAAGTCATCTTTCTTCTTTATTTCGTTATTGTCGGATAATTATACGAACAATAGATTAGGGTAAGTTGACGTGACTTAATCTGACCTAACTGAGAATAACAACTAATCGAATTTCTTGTTCATTTCGAATGCTAAAAAATGAAAGGACAATCATTGTCGCCAGACTGAGAAAAAATCTTAACTGTTCGGGAGGGAGGAAAATGTAAAAAATGTTGCATGGGAAAACATGGGCCGGGGGGGGGGGGGGGAATTTTTCTGATACGAGATTTAGTTAAAAAAAAAAAAACATACAAAGTTTGGGAAACCATGAATATAACTCTCTTCCTGTACCTACAAATAGGTAATTTCTTTTGCGGATATATACCTGTATTTACATTTGTGAATATAATTAGGTAAATACATATGTGTACTTCATTAATGTTAATATAGCGCATGTAAAGCCACCTGCAAACATTCATTGTTGAAGCACAATATTATACTTCCTGTTGTGTGAATTACTCCACTATCTGTTATCTTGTGTTAAAAACACAATTCTGTATCTTGTGAAGTGTAGAATTTTGAGTGGTTAAAAACATTTTTTTTCACGACCTTGAGTTCGATTCCGTGCTGAACTGCCTGTAAATAGGTGCGGTGCATAGGATTTAATCTATTGTCGTGGGCAGCATCCTAGAGAGGTTGTACCTTAACTTGCAAATGGCTCAACTTTGAAATAAGCTAAAGTAGGAAGACGGTTCTTAACTACTCTTAGTTATTCCTATATATTATCTCTTTAATCCTTGATCAATCAGGTTGTGTTTGAGGTGTTCACTGGTAAGGGCGCCTGGGGCTCCATCGGTGTTGACGACGTGAAGGTTACTCCAGGATATTGCCCCGACCCTACCACCTGCACCTTTGATGATGGACTGTGTCTCTGGACCCAGTCTTACAATGATGACCTGGATTGGGAAGTGGTCAGTGTAGCGGGGGACCTTCACGATCACACTAGTGGTCAGTATCTACTACGTGTACTTACATAACAATACTTGGAAAATGGTTTGTCTTTCATTTATTTCTTAGGGAAATTTACTCGACACGGGTCAAGTAATAAAATGACCCATTCCGAGGTAGGATCTGTAGAACTACAGTTGGCCATCATTATTATTATTATAATCAAGGGGGAAGCGCTAAACCCAGAGGATTATACAGCGCCTGGGGGGGGGGGATGTGGAAGGCATTCAGGCTTAATTCGGGGAACTGGAGCACAAATCCAATTCCCTAAATCAAGAGCCCCTCACCAACATCAAGGAACCTTCCTTGAGGGGAGTTGGCCATCAGTCCTACTGTAGCTCTTCTTTTTTATACTTTTTTCCTTATGAATTTACTGTAGTCTATTTATATCCGTTTACCATTATTATAAAATTAATAACGCTGAGTTCTGTATTAATTGCGTAATCTTTCTAGCAAGGTATAGGTTAATCCATACTTAATCTTAGAGCTCATTATTGCCAAATAAATATGTATATCACTGTTGTAATAAATAGCTTTTTCTTCTGCTTTTTAAAAGCCAAAATATCAAGTCATAATTTTAATACAAACAATAGTAACAGTGCAATAACAGTTTAGGCCTACTGTTCTGTACTTTTTTCATAGAACGTTAATTGACATGCTTAGTAATATTAACACACCTACCCCAAGCAGACTCGGGTAATTTCCTGATCCTCAGGGCAGACAACTATGCTTCTGTGGAAAAAACAGCACTGCTAGAGTCATTTCCTGGAAACGTGCTAGAGGTCTCGTGCTTCTCCTTTTGGTGAGTAATGTTACTCTTTCTTCCCGTGATAATTGTTTATATTACAATGTGTTGCTGGGAACATCAGAGCCGGATTAAGGCTCTGATATATATATATATATATATATATATATATATATATATAATATATATATATATATATATATATATATAAAATTTATATATATATATATGTTATATATATATATATATATATATATTATATATATAATATATATATATATATATATATATATTATATATATATATATATATATATATATATAATATATATATATACTATATACTATATATAGTTGGGCTTGTAAAAGAGGTAAATGCTGGGGTGTTGGGGAGAGGGGGTGGGATTAAATTATGGGGAATCAAATGCAAAGTGGGAGTTGGCTCAGTTACTTTTTACTGATGATATTGTGCTTAAGGGAGATTCTAAAGAGAAGTTGCAAAGGTTAGTGAAGTAATTTGGGTGGGTGTGTAAAGGAAGAAAGATGAAAGTGAACACAGATAAGAGTAATTTGATGAGGGTATCAAACGAGTTAGGTAAAGAAAAACTGGATATCACATTGGAGGGAGGGAGTATGGAAGAAGTGAATGTGTTCAGATATTTGGGAGTAGACTTGTTATTAGATGGGTTTATGAAGGATGAAGTTAATCATAGAATTGATGAAATAAAAAAGGTGATTGATGCAAAGAGGTATCTGTGGAGACAAAAAACATTATCCATGGAGGCAAAGAAAAGAATGTACAAGAGTATAGTGGTACCAACACTTATATGGGTGTGAAGCATGGGTTGTAAATGCTGCAGCAAGAAGAAGGGTAATGTGTGGTGTAAATATTATGCAGAGAATTTTTAGTGTGGAAATTAGGAGGAGGTTTGGAGTTACTAAAAGTATTATTCAGAAGACTGAAGAGGGGTTAGTGAGGTGGTTTGGTCATTTAGAGAAGCTGGAGCAAAATAGGATTACTTGGAGGTTGTATAAATCTGTAGTGGGAGGGAAGAGGTGTGGGAGTCGTCCTAGGAAAGGATGGAGGGAAGGGGTAAAAGAGGTTTTTGTGTGCAAGAGGCTTGGACATGCAGCAGGCATGTGTGAACATGTTAGATAGGAGTGAGTGGAGACGAATCGTTCTTGGGGCTTGACGAGCTGTTGGAATGTGAGCAAAGTAATATTTTGTAAAGGGATTCAGGAAAACCAGTTAGCCGGACTTGAGTCCTGGAGGTGGAAGGTACAGTGCCTGCACTTTACAGGAGGGGTCTGGGATATTGGCTGTTTTAAGTGACATCTAAACTGTTATATCTGGGCGCCTCTGCAAAGACAGTGATTATGTGTGAATGATGGTGAGTGTTTTTTATTTGAGTCACCCGGCCTCGGTGGGAGACGGCCGACGTGTTGAAATATATAGTATGGATTCTGTTGTAAACACAATTTGTTATGAACTTTTTATTAGCATAATTAAAACATAAAAAAAACAATTCTTTTAGACTGCTTGATTGTGTTAATTATATCTAGTGTTATTACTGCTTATATTTTTTTTTTTAAAATAAAATCCTTTCAAACAACGTTACACTTATTTTAACATTAGACTTTGAAATGTTTCGGAGCATTATTAAAAACAAAAATCCTCATTTCTTTCAGGTATAGTATGTGGGGACATCAAATGCAGGACACCTGAAGGTTGTCAATAGTGGGCCCTGACTTTCAAGGATGACAGTGTTGTTGGGAATACTCACAGGGCCCCACTCACAATGGTCGGATGGAAGTATGCGAGGTACGATCTCCCCGGCTGGTGGTTTAATATGGTAAGAGGACGGGGTGTTGGATAAAGGAATTAGTTGAAGGAGTTTTTGCATAGTTTTTCGGGCAAAGGAGTTTCTCACCTTTCTTGAACATGATGGAATTTTAGGAAATAATATTTTTTTCCTGTGTTCTGCAAACTTCATGGTTAGCTCGGCTTGACTAGCACCAATCCAGTTCACACATTGGGGGTCCGTGGTTCGATCCCCAGTATGGGGGGAAATACTAGGACGTGTTTCCTTAAGACACCTACTGCCCCTGTTTACCTAGCAACAAAATAGGCACCTGGGTGTTAGTCGACTGGTGTGGGACAAAATTGACCTAATTTGCTCAAAATGCTCTTCATAACAAGGGGCTTTCTATATAGTACTATGTCATTGATGGCAGCTAGGCCTGTATACCTTGTTTACCTGGAGAGAGTTCCGGGGGTCAACGCCCACGCGGCTCGGTCTCTGACCAGGCCTCCTGGTGGATCAGAGCCTGATCAACCAGGCTGTTACTGCTGGCTACACGCAAACCAACGTACGAGCCACAGCCCGGCTGGTCAGGTACCGACTTTAGGTGCTTGTCCAGTACCAGCTTGAAGACTGCCAGGGGTCTATTGGTAATCCCTCTTATGTATGCTGGGAGGCAGTTGAACAGTCTCGGGCCCCTGACACTTATTGTATGGTCTCTTAACGTGCTAGTGACACCCCTGCTTTTCATTGGGGGATGTTGCATCGTCTGCCAAGTCTTTTGCTTTCGTAGTGAGTGATTTTCGTGTGCAAGTTCGGTACTAGTCCCTCTAGGATTTTCCAGGTGTATATAATCATGTATCTCTCCTGCCTGCGTTCCAGGGAATACAGGTTCAGAAATCTCAAGCGTTCCCAGTAATTGAGGTGTTTTATCTCCGTTATGCGCGCCGTGAAGGTTCTCTGTACATTTTCTAGGTCAGCAATTTCACCTGCCTTGAAAGGTGCTGTTAGTGTGTAGCAATAAATATTATTGCCTGGGATCGAACCACTGACACTCAGTATATAAGTTGAGTACGCACTACGCGGTCATCATAGCTACAGGACATCTCTACAGGTCACAAAGCTCACTATGTGAATAACTACTCACACGGGAGTATAGTTTTAGTAATAACGATTAAAAAATGTAATTGCCGGACAACCGTTGATAATGGTTGATGGTACTGAGAAAAACTAAATACACATTGCAACCTTGCAGAGAAATAAAATGTCAGCTAGGACTATATACCTTGTACATGTACTTGTAGTAAATAAAGATATTATTATTATTATTATTATTATTATTATTATTATTATTATTATTATTATTATTATTATTATTATTATTATTATTATTATAGTGTCGCGCTGGGCGGAGACAACCGGGAGGGATGTTAGGTTTGTTGTGGACGCAATACTGAAACTAATAAGCATTTTTATTTAAAAATTTACTGTCTTTTCAGAAATATCCTTTAGCAATAGTAACACTAATACTTCCTTAGCAAGAGCTTCAGTAAATAGTAAATGCAGCCTAGTATTTGAGTAGAATAAGTGTGTGTTACGTGGACATTCAAGGTTACAGGAGATACACATGAGGGGAACAATACATATAGACATAATAAGAACATAAGAACATAAGAACGAAGGAACACTGCAGAAGGCATACTGGCCCATGCAAGGCAGGTCCAAGTCTCCTACCGGCTTAAGCCAATGCACCCAACCTAGTCAGGTCAGGTCACATTGACTTAAGGGAGGACCACACGGCAACCGACCTGGTAGCACAAGCTATCAGGTCTAACTCACACCCACCCACATCTACTCATGTATTTATCCAACCTATTTTTAAAGCTACACAACGTTCTGGCCTCTATAACGGTATTTGGGAGTTTGTTCCACTCATCCACAACTCTATTACCAAACCAGTACTTTCCTATATCCTTCCTGAATCTGAATTTTTCCAACTTAAAACCATTGCTGCGAGTCCTGTCTAGGCTAGATATTTTCAGCACACTATTTACATCCCCTTTATTTATTCCTGTCTTCCATTTATACACCTCAATCATAATGCACATGGTAACATTTTACAGAGCCTATTTGTATAGGTAAGCTGTTATTCAGGTCCATTAAGTTTTATTCAGGTACAGGCACACATAAATGCAGTTACATAGATGATCATACGTAGCATGTGTAGATTACCTAGGATAACCCAAAAAAGTCAGACTGACTTATTTATATTTCCATTGGGTCCTACACAAGTGTAAATTTTTACAACTGTCGTAACTTGTGTATATTAGCCTAGGATAACTGAATAATGTCAAGCAATGGCTTATTTTCGTGATATTATATGCTCGGAAATAATTGTTTTGGTTAATTTTTTAGTTTATATCAAGGTATTAGAAATGAAGTAATTAGTTTCGAACAGAACTTGACACTGGCATATTACAACGAATTGGTTATAAATGATCATTATTTTTAAAGGGGTGGACTGGTAGCCAGAGGAAGGCCTCAGTCACATGACCAAAGATCCAAAGGTGGGTCATCATCTGACTAAGATCCGCGTCAGAAAACAGTTGCCCTTTCCTGACAAACCTTACTTAACCTAACTGGCATATTGTTTTACATTGTGTTCTTTAGCTAAACCTACACAGTACATATAATAAAGAAAACTGTATTTAGATAATTCTAGTTTAAAACAGTGACAAGGATTATTATTATTATAATCAAAGAAAGCTCTAAACCGACAAAGGCCATAAAGTGCTGCAATACTGACAAGGAAGAATTTCAACCTATCTTAAATTCATTGTTTTTTTGTTTCGCCAGCTAAGGCTCCAACATAAATCGTCTGCTGAAATTAAGAGAACCACAATAGCATACGCCGTATTGAGCCAGTCAAAAATAGATACCCCCCACCCCCCCCCCCCCCCCCCCCCCCCCGGCCATTGAAACCTTTGGCGTTTAGACGCGAAAAGTTTTCGTGTCGGAACGTGTAAACCCTTTGAAAACTGCATAATAATAACTTTAACGTAACTATAAACGACGTTCTGTTCAAAATTGGGCTACGTATACATATACATGTAAGAGGTTTGGGCGAGGGGCTTGGACTTCCAGCAAGCGTGCGTGAGCGTGTTAGATAGGAGTGAATGGAGACGAATGGTATTTGGAACCTGACGAGCTGTTGGAGTGTGAGCTGGGTAATATTTAGTGATGGATTCGGAAAAACGGTTATTTTTATATAGAGCCGGACCTTGAGTCCTGGAAATGGGAAAGACCCCCACCCAAAAAAAAAAAAAAAAACAAAAATACACAAAAAAAAAAAAAAACAACCCCCCCCCCCCAACCCCCCCCCCCCAAAAAAAAAAAACTACAATGACTGCACTTTAAAGGAGGGAGTTTTGGATATTGGCCAGTTTGAGGGATATGTTGTGTAGCTTTATTACGATGCATTTTGCTTCTAAACTGTTGTGTTCTGAGCACCTCTTGCAAAAACAGTGACTTATGTGTGATGAGGTGAAAGTGTTGATGATATGAAAGTATTTTCTTTTTGGGGATTTTCTTTCTTTTTGGGAGGTGGCACCCTTTGCCTCGGTGAGGAGACGGCCAACTTGTTCAATAATATTTTTAGTTATATATATATATATATATATATATATATATATATATATATATTTATATATAAATTTATTTATATTTATTTTAATTATATATTTTAACAAGTCGGCCGTCTCCCACCGAGGCAGGGTGACCCACAACCCAAAAAAGAAAGAAAACCCCAAAAAGAAAAATATTTCCATCATCTTTCAACACTTTCACACACACTCACTCCATTATCCACTGTTTTGCAGAGGTGCTCAGAATTCAACAGTTTAGAAGCATCATTACGTATAAAGATACACAAACATTCCCTCCAAACTGCAATATCCCAAACCCCTCTTTAAAGTGCAGGCTTTGTACTTCCCATTTCCAGGGACTCAAGTCCCGACTATATGTAAATAACCGGTTTCCCTGAATCCCTTCATTAAATATTACCCTGCTCACACTCCAACAGATCGTCAGGTCCAGTATCTTCGTCTCCATTCACTCCTATCATAACACGCTCATGCACGCTTGCTGGAAGTCCCAAGCCACTCGCCCACAAAACCTCCTTTACCCCTCTTTCAAACCCTTTCGAGGATGACCCTACCCTCCTTCCATTCCCTATAGATTTATATGCTTTCCATAGTCCATTCTACTTTGATCATTCTCTCTAAATGGACCAAACCACCTCAACAACCCCTCTTATGCACTATGACTAATGCTTTTATTTAACTCCGCACCTTCTCCTTAATTTCTCCATCCGAATTTTCTGCAGGACCATAATAAATATACACCACACTTTGCCTTAGGACAGGACATCCTCCACTGCTCCACCGTCTCCTCGCTGCTGCATTTTACCACCAGCTTCACATCCATATAAGAGTGTTGGTACTTACCTATACTTTCATACATTCCCTTCTTTGCCTCCATAGATAAACGTTTTTTGACTCCACATATAAACTCAACGCACCCACTCCTTTTTTCGTCAATCAATTCTATGATTAACCTCATCACCTTATAAATCCATCGCCAACACGTCAAACTCCCAAGTATCTGAAAACATTCAATCTTCCATACTCCTCCTCCCCAATTTGATATCCAATTTTTCTTGATCTAAATCATTTGACACCTTCATACCTTACTCTTTTCTATGTTCCACTTTCAAATTCCTGCCCTTTACACCAATTCCCAAAAACTCACTCACTAACCTTTGCAATTTTTTTTAGAATCTCCATAAGCCACAGTATCAATCAGCAAAAGTAACTGTGTCAATTCCCATTTTGATTTGATTCACCAAAATTTAATCCCACCCCTTCCCGAAACACCCTAGCATTTACTTCCCTTTACAACCCCATC